ACATAACCCAGAAACCAACCCCATTAAGAAAGTATCCAAAGTAAATAAGCTTACAAGACTGTAGACAGGTAACCAGAGACATCAACTGGCAAATAAGGAGAACTACAAACTAAAAAAAGGGAAAAAACTGTGTAGTTACAGAACTTCTAAATGGTGGGGAAGTCAAGACAGCTGCAAGATAGAACAGACTGTTCTAAACTTGAAATTAAAAATTACAGGGTAACCTCAAAGAAATGATAAACCTTCACATCAAAATAAAGAGGATAAGGACAAATATTTAGCAAATGATAAAACAACAGTAATGAAGGAAGTGATAACATGATTCAGAAACAAAATGAGCTCAGCACAGAAAATTATATGGAACAAATAAATCAGTAACACCATGAAGAAACACATAACAAAATGACAGCAACAAATTCATACTTGTTGATTATCACACTGAAGGTCAATGGATTAAATGCACCACTCAAGAGATGGAGAGTTGCAGACTGGATAAGAAAACAACCCATCAATATGCTGTCTACAAGAGACACACCTTGGACACAAAGACAAAAACAGACTAAAAGTCAAAGGTTGGAAGAAGATGTATCAAGCAAATGGCAAATATAAAAGAGCAGTAGTGGCAATATTAATTTCTGATCAAATTGACTTTAAGACAAAAACAATCATAAGAGACAAGGAAAGACATTATATAATGATTAAAGGATTGACAGAACAAGAGGACATAACTATAATAAATATCTATGGACCCAATGAAAGAGCCCCAAAATACATAATCAGACTTTAGCAGAAATGAAAAGACAAATAGATGACTCCACAGTCACAGTAGAAGACTTTAATATACCACTTTCAATCCAAGATAGAACAAGTGGAAGGAAACTCAAGAAAGACGCAGAATAACTAAACAATACAATCCACTAACTTGACCCTGTGGACATTTACATTCAGTCTGGAATTGAACCACTCCTGTGGCTTCCAGCCAAATAAAAGACAGGCATATGAGCTGAAAATTTACATTAGGTAGATATACTCATTGGGGAGATCAATCATGGGAGAATAGAAGGGCCCTGTATGCACAGGGAGACAGCTAGGGGGCAGGAGTGCGTGGCAGGGAAGGACACAGGGAAGAAGTAACTATGGGGAAGAAGTTGGAAAATAGCTGTGGCACTGAAAAACTGCAGTCAATACCATGAGGGAAAGTGTATATAAACTGCTGTATGGATAATGAATGTGCTTTATAAACTTTTGCCTAAATCACAATAAAAAGTAAATTAAAAAAAGACATCTACAGAGCACTTCACCCAAAAACCACACAACATACATTCTTTTCCAGTGCACATGGAACATTCTCCAGGATAGACCATATGGTAGGCCACAAAGCAAGCCTTAATAAATTTAAACACACTGAAATACTGCAAAGCATCTTCTTAGATCACAATGCTATATAATTAGAAATCAACAATGGGAAGATCAACGGAAAAAGAGCAAACAAATGGAAAGTGACTAACATCATCCTTTAAAATGACTGGGTGATAGAAGAAATAAATGAAATTAAAAAATTCCTTCAATGAAATGAGAATGCAAACACAACATTCCAAAATCTTTGGGACACAGCAAAAGCAGTAATGAGAGGCCCATTTATAGCAATAAATGTACACATCAAAAAACAAGAAACAGCCAAAATCAACACCCTAACCCAACATCTCCAAAAACTAGAAAAATATCAGCAAGAAAAGCTTACAGTCATCAGTATAAAAATAATAAAGTTTAGAGCAGAAATAAACGAAACAGAAAATAGACAACAGAAAAAATCAACAAGACTAGAAGTTGGTTTTTTGAAAAGATTAATAAAATTGACAAACTACTGGCAAATTTAAAAAGGAAAAGAGGGAGAGAATACACATAACATGAATAAGAAACAAATGAGGTGACGTCACAGTAGAAACAACAATAATTAAAAAGATAATACCAGTATACTACGAAGAAACTATACTCAAAAAATTTGGAAATCTAGAAGAAATGGACAGATTTCTAGAAGCATACTACTTACCCAAACTAACAGAGACTGAGGTGGAACACTTGAACGGACCCATAAAAAAATAACAAATTGAATGCCATAATAAAATTACCAACAACAAAAAAAGTCCTGGCCCAGATGGTTTCACTGGTGAATTCTACCAAACATTCAGAGAAGAACTAACACCAATCCTACTCAAACTATTCCAGAACATAGAAAAGGATGGAATTACTTTCAAATTCATTTTATGAAGCAAGCATAACCTTGATACCAAAACCAGGCAAAGACACTCCAAAAAGGAAAGCTACACACCAATATTCCTCATGAATATAGATGCAAAAATCTTCAACCTAGCCAATAGACTCCAACAACATATCAAAAAAATAATACACTATGATCAAGTGGGGTCCATATCAGGTATACAAGGATGGTTCAACATTAGAACAACAATCAACATTATCCAACACATAAATAAAACAAACAAAAAGAACCACATGATCATATCAATCAATGCAGAAAAGGTATTTGATAAAATCCAACACCATTTCCTGATAAAAACTCTCAGCAAAATCGAAATAGAAGAGAAATTCATCAACATAATAAAGGGCATACATGCAAAACCAACAGCCAACGTTATTCTCAATGGAGAGAGACTGAACCATTCCCCTCAGGAACAGCAACCAGACAAGGATGCCCTCTATCTCCACTTCAATTCAACATTGTATTAGAAGTCCTAGCCATGGCAATAAGGCAAGAAAGGGAAATCAAAGGCATGCAAATTGGTAAGGAAGAAGTAAAACTATCCCTATTTGCTCACGAGATGATCCTACACATAGAAAACCTAAGAGATGCAGCAAAAAACTACTGGAACTAGCAGAGAGATTTAGCATAGTGGCAGGATGCAAGATCAACATACAAAAATCAATCTGATTCCTGTATACCAGCAAAGAGATTGCTGATAACGGAAATAAGGAAACCAGTACCGTTTATAGTACCAAAAAACAAAACAAATTCAAACTCACTGCCGTGGAGTTGGTCCCGACTCATAGAGACCCCTTCTTGTGTTTCCGAGGTGGTATCTCTACAGAAATAGATTGCCCAACCTTCCTTCCGAGGACTGCCTGGTGGGTTTGAACCGCCAGCCTCCTGGTTAGCAGTCAAATGCCTTAGGCACTACGCCACCAGAGCTCTTTAGGTGCCCTGAAACATTAAATGCAACACTCCACCAAAGTAATCGCAAAACCAAAAAACAAACCCACTGCCATTGAGTTGATTCCGACTAATAGTGACTCTACAGCATAGAGGAGAAATGCCCAATAGGGGTTCCAAGGCTGCAAATCTTTACTGAAGCCGACTGCCTCATCTTTCTTCCGCGGAGAGGCTGTTGGGTTTGAACCACCGACCTTCTGATTGGCAGCTGAATGCCTTAACCACTGTGCCACCAGACCTCCGAAATAATTACAAACTGCACCCATAACTTCACGCAAACGTTCTGTTCCAGGAATTCCCTCAGTTACAAGACAGATCTTGGATCAGCGCATGTACTCACAAGTACTACAAGAAAAACGCAGAGGATCTCTTCTCCGGTACTGACCATCTTAATGTAGGAAGGAAGCGCATAATCACAATTTGTGCGCAAATAGTATCAGGGCAAAGGCAGGTACACAAAGTTGCAAACTGTCAAAATCGTTTTGAAGTTCTTAAGAATTCTGCTATCTGGGGCAAAAGGAAAGGGTTCAAAAACCCAAACCCAAACCCACAGTCATCCAGTCGATTCCAACTCATAGCGTCCCTATATTACAGAGTAGAACCGCCCCATAGGGTTTCCAAGGTTGTAAAAATCTTCAGATAAACAGACTGCCTCATCTTTCTTCCGCGGAGCGATTAGTGGGTTCGAGCTATCACCCTTTTGGTTAGTAACCGAGTACTTTATCCACAATGCCACCAAAGTAACCCCGTAATCTCCTTTCCGCGTGCTCATGGACCGTGGAAAACAGAACTTCATTGGTTTACCTGTTTTCTATTTCAACCGGATCCGCGTCGGGCGGCTGCACCTTCACTTTCACCTCAGCCATAAAGATGCAGTCCTGGACCCGTGCCGGGAAGATGAGCACCAACTCCCGGAATAGGAAACCGAGGAACCCAAGAAACCTACTGAAGACAGCGGCCGGCCGAGGGCAAAGGGCCTTCTTCCTTCTGTCGCAGCCAGTCCTTCCTTGTCTGTCGGCTTGAGGCGACCAAGCTCCGCCTGCTCCACCTCACTCGCGTCTCCACATCTTGCTATGCTTGTTTTCCAGAATGTTAATGCTTGTCGGACGAACGAGGCTGATTCCTTCATTTTATGTTAGGACATCACCTTTAACACTCGCCAACCTCTGTGAAGGCATATACTCGGACGCCTATGGTAAAGCTCGGGAAAGGAGCTCTAGGTTGATACCAATGTCGCTGCCAAGAAGCGGGGGCGGAGCTGGTTACTAGGAAGCTGGTTTCTGCCAATCACCTGCCCCGCTCTCAGTGGGCGGGACGTTCCTCGCAGCGTCTGTGGTAACCCGGGTCGCAGCGAAGGAGCCGGAGAGAGGAGGTGAGAGACTAGACAGTCTGGGGCCGTGGGCGTTCCTCGAGGGGTTACTAGAATGGGGGCCGAGCGGCCGAAAGTGGAGGAGAACCTTCCTCACTGCAGCCAAAAGGATGCCGGCGTTGTGGGCTGCAGCTGATGGGTGGGGGCGGGGACTGCATGGGGTACGGGATCTGGGCGGTGAGAGGGGCTCGGGGCGGAGGGAGTTGGTGGGTGCTATTGACTCGGCGCCACCGCCCCTTGGGCTTCGCTGGTTGGCGTCCCTCTGGATCCTGTTGGCGTGAACCATGCTGCAATAAACTCCCAAGGGCAGCTACTAGTGCTGTGCGCGAATGAATGCCTCCCCAACCATTTTCATTTTGGGCGAATTTCTCAAGGATTTTTGTTTTAACTCCCTCTCAATTGAATAGAAATGTGAGGATGGACCTGAGTTCTCCCCCACACCTCCCCGTTAGACAACAACCCTTGTATCGGGCGCAAGCACCGTTTATCAGTGTCTGCAATTTAAATTCTCGGTTTCCACTGTGGAGCTAAGAATGCATTAAATTCACCCCTAAAATGTAGTTATCCCAGTTTTGATAGGAACTGTGACAACTCAAGCCTGCAAAGATGTTTAGAAGACCATTTGCTGCAACCAGAACTAAAAAGAAACTAGAAAATGCATAATGCCTAACCACAGTTGAAAAATAAGATTATATAAGTACATGGGAAACTGAATAATCAAGTAAGGGTGCAAGAGGTAGGCTGTAAAAAATGATTGAATATATAGATTATAATTGAATAAAGCTGATGAATCCACAATCATTGAATTTTCAAAAGGCGTGCATAGGTGTAGATGGTTGCTGTGGTATAGAGGTTGGTTTTATCTTCTGAAACCTTTTATGTTTAAAAAAATATGACACCCATCCAAGGAAAAAAGATCAGTAAGGCTTCCATGCTTGTAGTTAGTTATTTATAAATACAGTAGATGAAATAGAAGACTTTTGTGTTTGTTGGTTACTGTTCATATCCAAAGTTCTTTGTAGCTGAGTGAAACACTGCAGTCTTTCAAAAGTTTCTTTTTCAGTTTTCAAATGTGAGGACCACTGTATTGTCAACTACAGTGCTGAAGATCAGGCTTTCCCAAAGGTTGTTGTGTTAAGTGCCGTTGAGTCATCTCCAACTCATAGCTACCCTATGCACAGCAGAAGTAAACACTGCCCGGTCCTGCGCCAACTCTGTGATCGCTGCTATGCTTGAGCCCATTGCCACAGCCACTGTCAATCCATTTCATTGAGGGCCTTCCCCTCCTTCCTCGACCCTCCACCTTACCAAGCATGACATCCTTCTCCAGGAAATGGTCCCTTCTGAAAAGATGAACAGAGTAGGTAAGATGAAATCTGGCCATTCTTGCTTCCAAGGAACATTCCGGCTGTACTTCCTCCAGGACAGGTTTGTTATATCTTTTAGTAGTCCATGATACTTTCAGCATTCTTCGCAGCACCATAACTCAAAAGCATCAACTCTTCTTCAGTTTTGCTTATTCATTGTTCAGCTCTTGCATGCATATGAGGCAATTGAAAATACCATACCTTGTGTCAGGCACACCTTAGTCCTCAAGGAGACATCTTTGCTTTTCAGCACTTGAAAGAGATCCTTTGCACCTGATTCACCTAGTGCTGTACCATCATCTGATGTCCTGACTGGGGCTTCCATTGGCATTGATTGTAGAACCAAGCAATGTGAAATCTTTGACAACTCCAAACTTTCCTCCATTTATTGTGATGCTGCTTATAGGTCCATTTGTGAGGATTTTTGTTTTCTTTATATTGAGATGTAATCCATACTGCAGACTATTCTTCAGTCTTCATCACTAAGTGCTTCAAGTCATCTCACTTTCAGCAAGCAAAGTTATGTTGTCAGCGTATTATAGGTTGTTAATGATTCTTCCTCTAATCCTGATGCCACATTCTTCTTCATATAGTCCAGTTTCTCAGATTATTTGCTCAGCATACAGATTGAATAAGTATGGTGAAAGGATACAACCCTGACACACTCCATTCTTGATTTTAAACCATGTGATGTCCCCTTGTTTTGTTTGAATGACAGCCTCCTGGTCTATGTACAGGTTCCTCATGGGTACAATTATGTGTTTTGTAATTCACATTTCTTCTCAGTGTTACCCATAATTTGTTATGCTCCACACAATCAAATGCTTTTGCATAGTTAGTAAAACAGAAGTAAATATCTTTCTGGTATTCTTTTCTTTGAGCTAAGATCCATCTGCCATCAGCAATAAAATCCCTCATTCCACATCCTGTTGTGAATCCAGCTTGCATTTTTGGAAGTTCTCTGTCAATATACTGCTGCAACTGTTTTTAAATTTTCTTTAGTAAGATTTTAATTGCATGGGATATTAACGATATTGTTTGATAATTTCCACATTCTTTGGGATCACCTTTCTTTGGAATGGGTACAAATAAGGATTTCTTGCAGTCAGTTGGCCAGGTAGGTAGCTTCCAAATCTCTTGGTATAGCCAAGGGAGTGCCTCCAGCAGGGCATCCGTTTGTTGAAACATCTCAGTGGGTATTCTGTCAGTTCTTGGAGCCTTGTTCTTTGCCAATTCCTTCCATGCAGCTTCGACTTCTTCCTTCAATACCTTTGGTTCTTAATCATATACCAACTCCTGGAATGGATGAAGATCTACCAGTTCTTTTTGGTACAGGGACTCTGTGTATTCCTTCCATCTTCTTTTGATGTTGTTTCACCCACAGAATCTTTTAATATTGCAACTTGAGGCTTACATTTTTTCCTCAGTTCTTTGAGCTTGAGAAATGCTGAGTGTGTTCTTCCCTTTTGGTTTTCTAACTCAAGATCTTTGCACATTTCATTATAGTAATTAGTTTTTTCTGCTTGAGCTACTCTTTGAAATCTTCTGTTCAGCTTTTTTATCTTGTCTTTTCTTCCATTTGCTTTAGCTACTCTCCGCTCAAAGGCAAATTTCAGAGTCACTTCTGACATCCATTTTGGTCTTTTTTTCCTTTCTCATCTTTTTAATGACCTCTTGCTTTCTTCGTGGATGATATTCTTGATGTCATTGCACAATTCTTCTGGTTTTCAGTCATTGGTGTTTAATGCATCCAATCTATTCTTTAGATGATCTCTAAATTCAGTAGGGATATATTCGAGGTCATATATTGGCTCTCGTGGACTTGTTTTAATTATTTTCAACTTCAAGTAGAACTTGCATATGAGCAGTTGATTTGTTCCACAATCAGCTCCTGGCCAAAGGAATGGGTTCTAAATTACCATATGCCACACACAGAATTAGTTTCTGTTCCTCTGCTGTGATGACTTGCCCTAAAGCCAAAGGGGTTGTGTACTTAGAGGAGGTTGGAACAGGTGATGATGATCAAGTGAGAACTCAGATCAGACCCTTAGTGATGATCTCTGTTTTGTCTGATTCCTTTAATTTGCCATCCCTGTATCCCATTCATTCATGTTCTTTTCCCAGAAGTGAGGTGAGTATTCAGATAATCAAAACTCCACACAGATCTTAATAGCAAGAACACAGGTTAAAAATAATAGCTATTTCAATTAAAAATTGACTAATATTTGTAAGAAAGACATGGTTAAAGCCCTTGACTACTAACCAAAGGTTGGTGGTTCAAGTCCACCCATAGGTGCCTTGGAAGAAAGGCCTGGTGATCTACTTCTGAAAAATCAGCCATTGAAAACCCTATGGAGCACAGTTCTACTCTGACACACCTGGAGTCTCCTTGATTTGGAATCAACTTAATGGCAACTGGTTTAATATTTGTAGGTGATACATTAACAGCATTCTTTCTCTTTCTTTTTTCACTAGTTTTGCTGCTCATTAGATGAAATGTTTTCCTTCAACTTTTGTGTTCAAATATAATTACGCATTGGAATTTGTTTTCATCTGCTTTTTTTTTTTTTTAAATGTAAGGGAAAAAAAATGACTGCTGGTTCAGTGTGTATCCCTCAGATCATACCACTGCGAGTGCCTCAGCCCGGAAAATCCAAACATGAAATTGATAGCAACACACTTTTGGAAATTAAATCAGGTGGGAATCATATGTATTTAAAATTATTTAAACTAACATTGTCATACTCATTATGCTCATCTGGTTGTTCATTTACTTCTTTGCATGCTTTCTATAGTCATACCTTGGGAAGTTTGTACATCTTCCAGAATTTAGAACAGCATTGTACTTTGCTGGTTTATATATTTAAATTAAAACAGTTGGCTTTGACTAACTTTTCATTTGGGGAAGTACATCTTTCATCTATGCCTCAACTCACCTTCCCTAAGGTAAAATGTCCTGGTGTATCCCCATACTTTCCCTGGGTGCCCATTATTTTTCTAGGATGATAAATTTGGCCTGCTAACATTGGCTTGCCAATTAAACATGTTGGGAATTGAATCTTGGCTTTGACAATTTTTAATAACTTTAGACACATTACTTAGTCTCAGTTTTCTCATTGTAAGATATGGATAATAACTTTTAGAACCACTGTAAAGATTAAATGAGTTGAAATATATGTGAGATTCACAAAATCTGGCACACAGTAATGCCAAAATAAATCTTAAATAGTATTACAGGAATAAAGCAGTGAATGCATTTCCTGATAATACTTACAGACAGTCCCCAGGTTATGAATGTCTGACTTAGTACAACCCACAGTTACAACACAACCCCTGTAAAGCCTTTTATATTAAAAATTCAAGTATAGGAGTACCGTGGAGATATTGTGGATTCAATTCCAGACTATCACAATAAAGCGAATATTGCAAATAAAGCAAGTCATACGAATTTTTTGGTATCCCAGTGCATATAAAAGTTACGTTTATGCTATATTGTTTTAAATGTGCATAGTGGTATTATGGAAAAATTTGAAATATTATGAGAATTACCAAAATGTGACATAGAGACATGAAGTGAGCACATGCTGTTGGAAAAAATGGTGCTAGTAGACTTGCAGGAAGCAGGGTTGCTACAAACCTTCGTTTTATAAAGAATGTAGTATCTTCAAAGTTTAATGAAATGACCTGTACATACAATGGTTTGTAATAACATATAGTTGCTACTTTGCAATGCACATCAAAACATTATTATTATTATTACTGTATTATTATGTTACACTATTATTAGTATATCTGGAAGTGTTTTATGTGGATAGAAAGGTATACTATATACTATAAACCAAAACTAATATTTGACTTACAGATGTTAGATATGTACCCAGCTAACTGTTCTGACTTATGTACAAATTCAACTTAAGGACACTTAGGAATAGAACTTATTTGTAATCCAGGGACTGCCTGCATTCTTCAAACTTTTTCTGTGTGTGCATGCATGCATGTGCGTGCATACACACATAATTAAGAAGAAGAAGGAAAAATTTTGCTGATAAAACATATGGACTGATATCCTAATTAAAGTGTTGTTTTCAGCAGCGTGTATACTAAAATTGGAATGATACAGGGGAGGTTAGCATGGCCCTTGTGCAAGAATGACACACAAATTCATGAATCATTCCATATCATGAATGTGGCCCTTAGATACCCTTCAAGGCTAGAACTGAACTCATCCAGTGGCTCCACTTTCAGGCAAACAATACAGACCTATAAGGTGAACAGTAACACCAAGGAAGTATGCACTCCTTAGAACAACCATTCATATGAGATCAAAAGGGCAGCATTTGTCCAAGGATAAAGTTCAGAAGTCAGGAAGGGATAGGAAAGAATGATGAAATAAACACAGGGAGGTAAACACAGGGAGGAAGTGGGTAGAGTGCTGTTAAAATTGTGGGAGTTGCGATCAGTGTCATAAAACAAAATGTGTATAAATTGTTGAATGGAAAACTAATTCACTCTGTAAACATTCACCCAAATCACAGTAAAAAGTTTAAAAAAAAACTAAAGAGAATGATAGAAGAGGAAGCAGAAAAGAAAATACCCTTATTAACAAAACTTTGAGATTCTAATGATATGTTTTAATAACTGAAATATGTAAGAACTTTTTATTTGTATTTATGACTCCTGGCCTTCCTAGACCTAGCATTCCAATGAACGATACACTACTAACACTATGTCCTCTTTATTTTAAAAGCTAATGTGAGTTTTTTTAAATTCCCAAGCCAAAATAGATAATTTTTGTTGTTGTTAGGTGACATAGAGTTGGTTCCAACTCCAAACAACCCTTTGTCCAACAGAACAAAACATTACCTGGTCCTGCACCATCCTCACAATATTTGCTGTGCTTGAGCCCATTGTTGCAGCTACTGTATCTAATCATCTCAGTGAGGGTCTCCTTCTTTTACACTGACTCTCTACTTTGTCAAGCATGATATCTTTCTCCAAGGAATGGTCCTTCCTTGTAACATGACCAAAGTGTAAGAGACAAAAGTCTCTCTTGTTTCTAAGGAGCATTCTGGCTGTGCTTTTTCCAAGACAGATTTGTTCGTTCTTCTGGCAGTCCATGGTATATTCAATATATTTCCCCAACACCATAATTCAAATGCATCAGCTCTTCTATGGTCTTCCTTATTCATTGTACATCTTTGACATGCATATGAAGCAGTTGAAAATACCATGGCTGAGGTCAGGCACACCTTAATCTTCAAAGTGACATCTTTTCTCTTTAACACTTTAAAGAAATCTTTTGCAGCATATATGCTCAATGCAGTATGTCATTTGATTTCTTGACTTCTGCTTCCATCGGCATTGATTGTGGATCCAAGTAAAATGAAATCCTTAACAACTTAAATCACTTCCTTCATTTATCATGATGTTGCTTATTGGTCCAGTTATGAGGATTTTCATTTTCTTTATGCTGAGGTATAATCCATACTGAAGGCTGTACTCTTGATCTTCATAGTGCTTCAAGTGCTCTTCACTTTCAGCAAAATAAAAAAAATTAATATATGTGTATATAACTTTTAGGAGAAATTGAGTGGTTGTTGACAAATGATGATATGAATGATAGGGTGTCCAATTTTCTAATATTTAAAAGGTCTAATAAACAAAAATATTCCTCAGTTCAATAACAGAATAATAACCCAGTAGTGAAATGGGCAAAGAATGTAAAAAGAAAGTTTACAGGAAAGGACATGTACGTGCTTCTTTTTTTAATTTTTTGTTTGTTTGTTTTTGTTGTGTTTCCTTCCCTCCCCTCACACCCCTAATAACCAACAAAGAAAGTTTCCTTCCATGGACATATGTGTGTTTCTCAAGCATATGAAAAGATACTTCTACTCTCCTCTTTACCTGCTTTCTGAGTATATCTTATTCCCCCTTACCCTTCTTTATTTCCTTCTCTGCATTTATGCAAACTTGACAGCATGCATTTACTTGTGTGTTTATTGTTTGTATATCTCTTCTAAAACATAAGCTCTAAGAGAGCAGGAACTTCAGTTATTAATATATCCCCAGTGCCTAGAACAGTACCTGGCACATAGTAGGCAGTCAGTAAATATTTATTGAATAAATGAAAGGATATTGCTCAAAAATAAAAATTGTGACTTAAAACTGTGAGATACTATTTTTGTTTATGTAAGAAATTGGAATAATAATAATAATATAATAATAATAATAAGCTGATAACACTGTATGGGTGGATTGTGGGTAAACAGGTACTTCCATGCATTTCTGATAGGAGTGCCACTTGTTTCTTTGTCAATAGAGGACAGTTTGGCAATATTGATCAAAATTACAGATGCACATATCTGCTAAAATGGCATGGGGGGACAGCTTCTTCTGACCTCCTCTAATTTCATGAGGGGCAGAGAAAAATCACCATCAGCAGTCCTATCAGATGGAGGTCAGACATGCTGCCACCCTTCAACTTTTTTACCAGTTCTGACACAAACATTCCCTCCAATGGCACTCTACTTCTCTGCTGGGTTCTATAATTCAATGCAATGGCCACACAGAACTCACAAACTAAATATGATTATGTGGTTGTGGTGCAGTGAACTTCTTGGTATGGTTCTTTTGGCCATGGTCTTTGTGACTCCTATCAAATGACTAGATGAAACTATGCAGATGTGAGGTGACTGTGGCCTACCAAAGGGATTGGATAGCTTGCTCATAATGTAAATAAGGTACATGGCTCCTGTCAAAAAACAAACAAACAAAAAAACAAAACAACCTCACTGCTGTTCCGTCAGATCTGACTCATAGCAAGTCCTCCTTGGGTTTCCAAGGTGGTATCACTACAGAAGTAGATTGCCCCATCTTCCTTCCGAGGAGTGGCTGGTGAATTTGAACCACCAGCCTTCTGGTTAGCAGTCAAATGCCTTAGGCATTACACCACCAGAGCTCATCACGGCACCTGTGGGGTCATAGAAATAATGTGTATGGAATCCTAACATTGGGATTGGTCAATTTTTCCATCTTGCTAGGCTTAAAATGACCTATCCCAGAGTGGAAAAGGGGGCTCTCACCACCATCAAGATAGAAGAAGCCAGGAGTGGAGCATGTCCTTGACCTGAGATCCTTGCATGGAGATGGCAGAGACACAGCAGAGAGGTGGTGGCAGCAGAGGTAGCAGAACCAAGAAACTAGCACAAGACAGAGTGGCAGGCTTGCCAGGCCACTGAGTGAGAAAACTGAGTGCCTTTGGGCAGGAGGCTTGCTGGCAGAGTGGTGTGTACCTATCAGCATTGCTTAAAGAACTCCATAACCCTTGTCTGTGCAGGGCAGAAGCCACACTGAGAAGTAGAGCACCAGAGAGAGGTACACCTGTGGGCATGGCCAAGGGTAGGCTGTCCTGATGGAAGAATTGCATCCTGAGCATTCCTGAACCTGAGTTGTAATCTGTTGCTTACTTAGTAACCCCATGTTCTGGTTTCCTAGTACCACTCTGGCAAGAATATACCACAAATGGGATGGTTTAAACAAACAGGAGTTTATTCTTACAGTTTGGAGGCTTTAAGTCCAAGTTCAAAGTGCCAAGCTCCAGGGGCTGGGTGAAAGCCCCTCAGCCTTGGGCTTTAGCTCTGTCTCCAGCTCCCAGCCCACTGAAGCTAGAGGCTTTTCTTTACTCAGACAGCTGCTGGCTGCTGAGACTGAGAAGCCCAATGTTGACAAATAAAATGGCACAGTCCCAATGTTACCAAACCACACAGCAGGCCATTAATTTAAGTCCATTGTAAGTCCCAAGGTTGGCAGAGCATGGCAGGCTGCTGAACAATGACATGGCTACATGCAGGGTCCAAGAGTGCAATAAGCTAGAGACCATTCCCAAGGCTTCTCCTTATATACAGGAAGCAGACTACATCCCAAAGGCAGCTACTCAGCTGCTTGTGGTAGATCCCATCATGGCATTGGTTGCCAGTCTCATCATGGGGAATAACTACCACCAGCTGCCTAGCCACTCAACCAGGCCCAGCCAAGTTGACATACAAACATAACTACCACACCCCATAATTGTGAGTATTGTCTGTGAGTTTCTGTGTGGCCATTGCAAAGAATTATTGAATGCAGCAGACAAGTTAGAGAGTTCCATGGGAAGGATGGTTGGTATCAGAATTGGTGAAAAGTTTGGACAGTGGTGGCATGTCTGACCTCTATTACATAGAGATCAGGCTTGGGCTGATGCTTATGATGGTAATTCTGTCTTCCCCTTGTGAACTTAGAGGATATCAGAGGACACTGTCCCCACACCCTTTTTGCAGAGGTTTATTAGGGAAGTAACAGGTTACAATTCAGGATCAGAAAACAGCTCAGGATATAGTTCCTCAATCTGGAAAGCTACTTCTCAGCCATGCCACAGGCACTCTTCTCTCTGGCCTTGGCCTCTCCCCTGCCTGGGCTAGCATTACCAACTCTTTTAGCCTAGCCAATAGACACCCACAGAGGTACCCCACTCTGCTAGCAAACCTCCTGCCCGAAGGCACTCAGCTTTCTCGCTCCATGGGCTGGGAAACACACTGCTTTATCTCATGCCAGTCTGTTGTTTCTGGTGCCTCTGCTGTAATCTCTCTGCTCTCTCTTTGCCAAGGAGGTCTAGTGCAAGGATGGCAGGTCTAATGACACACTCTGCTCCTGGTACCTCTTCTGTCTTGATGGTAGTGAGATCTCCTTTTTCTGATTCTGGGATGGCTCATTTTAAACCTAGCGGAATGACAAAACTGACCAATCCGTGTGTCAGCATTCCATATTCCTTATTTCCATGGAGCTCTTGTAGCATAGTGCTTAAGGCACTTGACTGCTAACCAGAAGGCTGGTGGTTCAAACTCACCAGCCACTCCTCTGAAGGAAGGTTGGGCAATCTACTTTCGTAGTGATACTGCCTTGGAAACCCAAGGAGGGGTTGCTATGAGTCGGGGCCGACTCGACGACACATAACAACAACAACAACAAACCCCCACAAGGGTGCCACGTACCTTATTTACATTATTAACAATCTATCCAATCCCCTTGGTGGGCCACAAGCACCTCACATGGGAGCTCTGGTAGCATAGTGGCTAAGACACTTGCCTGCTAACCAGACGGCTGGCGGTTCAAACCCACCAGCCACTCCTTGGAAGGAAGGTTGGGCAATCCTACTTCCATAGTGATACTGCCTCAGAAACCCAAGGAGGGGTCGCTATGAGTCGGGTTTGATTCGACGGCACATAACAACAACAACAACCCAGTCATCTGGTGGGAGTCACAGAGACTATGGTTAAAGGAACACTGCTAAGTAATTCACCACACCACAATATCTTTTGACTCAGCAATACTGCTGTTGCATATTTGTTTTATGGCTATTCTTACAAAAAGAATTCTTTATAAGCTATTCATTATATGATTTCTAATAGACAAAGAAAACAACAACAACAAAAAATAGCCCAAATATGGGTTGATGATTTATGTTTTGTTTATACAAGAGCATACAGTGCAGTTATAAAAAAGAATGAGGACACTCTTTATGAACTGATACAGAACAGTATTTAAGATACATTGTAAAGTGAAAAAAGAAATGTGTGAGACAGGGTATAGTGTACAACCATTTGTATTAAAAAAGAGTGGGAGGTAAGAACATGTATATATACGCTGTAATGTGCACAGGGATCCTCAAGGTACCATTGGTTGCTTCTGGGCATCTGCTGTTATATGAATTTATTTTGAATTGTATGAATTTATTACCTTTAAATTTTTTCAAAATAAACTGTAGCAATCATTTACCAAATCCAAATAAAATATAACAAAGCATTTCTTAAGAAATGCTCTAACAATTAAAAAATAGCTTCTGCTTTCTAAATGGAAGATGTTCTGGTGGCACAGTGGTTAAAACATTCAGCTGGGAACCAAAAGGTCACCAATTTAAACCCACCAGCAACTCTGCTGCAGAAAGATGAGGCAGTCTGCTTCTGTAAAGATTTACAGCCTTGAAAACTCTATGAGGTAATTCTGTTCCGTCCTATAGGGTCACTATGAGTCAGAGTCAACTCAATGGCAGTGGGTTTTGATTTCTAAATGGATGTTGTAATCTTAAAACTGATCCCTTCTCTATTTGCATAAATGCTGTGTTGGAGAAGCAAAAAATTATAGTGGTTCAAAAGCATGAGGCTACAGATACAACTTACAGAAGTCAACTCATGACTCTTCTGTTATTTAACGAGTTTTTTTTTTTAACATTAAAAAAAAAATCAAGCAATTTGGGTTGAAAGTTTACAGAGAAAATTCATTTTCCATACAATAGTTCATAAATACTTTGTTTTATAATGTTGGATGTAATCCACATAATGTAACAGCTCTTTTCCCACTTCTTCCCTGTGGTTACCTTTTCCCTGCGTCTTTCTTTCCCATGCATTCTTGCCCTCTGAGCTATCTCCCTGCACAAATACTGCCCTTCTGGTCTCTGTGGTTGGTTATTCTAAGGAATGTACCTACCTGGTGCAAATATTCACCTTATAAGCCTGTTTATTGTTTGGCTACAAGCCTTGGGAATGAGTTCAATTCTAAGCCCAAAGGGTGACTAGGGGCTATATAGTCTCGGGATTCACCAGTTTCTATCAGACCAGTAAGCCTGATCTTTTTTTTATGATTTTGAGTATTGTTATGCATTTTTCTCTCCCTCTATCCAGGATCTCCTACACTGATCCTACACTGAGTGATTGATAGTAGTTAGCTGGGCACCATCTAGTTCTAAGCTAAGGTTTGCATGGCTTATTAGTACCTTGAACTAGTTGTTTCCATGCATCTTTGTTTTTCTTCATTCTTCTTTGCTCCTCAGGAGGAGAGACCAATAGTTGCATCTTAGATGGCCACTTGTAAGCTTTTAAGACCCCAGTCATATTAAGCAAGTTTCTTACCCTCTCTGGGACTCAATTTCCTCATCTATAAAATGGGTATAAAATACCTCATAAGGTTATACAGAAGAAATGAGTTAATCACATAAAATATAGTACTTGCGATAGAGAATGTAGTTGTTGTTTGTTATTATTTATTTCTATAGTAGGAAAATACATAATTTTGTATAATATAAAATTAAATAACTAACTTATAGGCATTATTCTGAGACTTGCTACTTTAGTGTTAATTACAATTATCCTGTTTTATATTTTTCAGACACCCCAGATGTCAATATATATTACACCCTGGATGGCAGCAAACCTGAATTTCTGAAGAGAATTGGTTATGGTGAAAATAAAACGTTTAAGTATACAAAACCCATTACTCTTCCTGATGGAAAAATACAAGTTAAAGCTATGGCAGTCTCTAAGTAAGTTAAGAACATAGTGTTTAAACTACTTTTTAGCATAACATAATGACATTATACTTTAATTTTATTTCTTCATATGAAAATCAATGCTGGATTAGAAGAACACTAAACAAAGTTACTGCAATTTCAGCATATATGTAACTTTTGTGTTTTATTTATCTTTTGTTGTGTACCACAAAGTACACAAGTCATAAATGTACAGTTCAGTGAAGCGTTATGTATTGTCTAAGAGTATGCATACCCTGTTAAAATAAAAGCAAAGAGATTACTTGAAGGGTCAAAACAGTTTGTATGAGGGATACACTGCATCTGTAAAAAAGAAGCCAAGCATGCTGAGCAATTGTAGGTGAATATATTTATACTCATTTATACAGTAAAATCAGGAACTAACAGTATAATTTTCTGGTTATAGAAAATAGGGAAGGTAGAGGCAGGCTAAGGTGAAGTGGAGCTTTTGTTTTGATTGGCTTACAGAGCATATGTGAGCTTTTTAGATCGGATAAATGAGATAATTGCAGAAGTAAATGACTAACGGGGGCTTTATGGGATGTCACAGGACTATGGTACGATATGCCTTTTCTGAGAACATTATGTTAAAATAGCTTCTTACCAAAAAAACCAAACTCACTGCCATCAAGTCGATTCCAACTCATAGTGATCTCTTTTGGGTTTCTGAGGTGGTGAATCTTTACAGAAATAGATTGCCCAGTCTTCCTTCTGTGGAGTAGCTGGTGGGTTTGAATTACTAACCTTCTGGTTAGCAGTCAAATGCCTTAGACACTATACCACCAGAGCTCCTAAAATAGCTTCTTAGGTAGGACACTTCCTGAGGGCTGCTTGCTTGGGAGATTCCAGATGAGTCTTTTGTAACAAGGGTACCTTAGGAATGCTCCATCAACATTTAGCTTAACCACAGAGGTAAACATTTCCTTAGTTATATGCTTAAGTCTGCAGCACAAAGGTTAATGGTTGTTGGGGAAGTAAAAGGAAATTAAGATGGAGTCTAAACTCATACCCAGGCCCACCATTTTACTAGGGCCAAGCACCTTAATATTGAGGCTCTCACACATTCCCTCCCATTGATCAAGGATATTCACAGACATGCTTTGATCACTATTATGAAGAACTCTTTCTTCTTCAGGGACTTATGGGTTGAAACCTCCTTTTAGGTGTCCACTTACTTAGTAAGCTTTTAAAATTCCATATAGATAGCAGGGCACCACCTAACTTCTTCATCATGCCATTGGTCAGCATTCCACTTCCAGTGATCTTATGAGTATGGATTTGTTAGGAGCAGGATCACAGAGGAGCAACTTGGCCTGTTTGAAAGTATAGACTAAGGTGCAAGTTCAACTCCATCCCAGTAATGAATTTTGTCTATATACATAATTCTTTTAGTATTACTAGTCCAGTGAATAATAGGGATGAAATCCAGATACAGTACTTTTAGGTATCCAACTAAATATATCTAAAGAGGGTGAATCTGATATTACATCTATGGAATATAACCAAGTAGTTTGCTATGAACTCTCTTGATGTTCTTTTCTACTTCTGAAGTGTTAATTCATGCACAGCGTGAAGTATTGGCATTGGCATGGTCTCCTGCTTATTGGGTTTAGAGGAAATCTAGGATGATGAGGTTGTATAAAAGTACTTTAGCTGAAGATTTTAAAAATCTTTCTTGAGCTGTTACATTGTCAGCTAAGTCATCAGTAGTTTTGGCCATGGTAGCTGATCGATTATGGACCGATTTTTAAAGTCAACAACACTATAGTTAGAATGAAGGCTCTTAGAAATGTCCATATCCAACCTGAATTTTCTGCTGGGGATGGTCATGGCAGATCTAACAGTCAGTAAGGTTATAAACACTTTCTACTGCTTGGGATAATTTAACAAAAGCATTCTCATTGCAGGCATTGCCAATGTTGTTGTTATTGTTAAGTGCCGTCGAGTTGGATCTGACTCATAGCAACCTCTCCTTGGGTTTCCGAGGCAGTATCACTACGGAAGTAGATTGTCCCATCTTCCTTCCGAGGAATGGATGGTGGGTTTGAACCGCCAGCCTTCTAGTTAGCAGTCAAGTGCCTTAGCCACTATGCTACCAGAGCTCCCATAGGCATTAGCGATAGCCATAGTATATAACAAGAGAATGCTTAAGAAAGACTACATAATGCAAAAATACTAATCAGAAGTAGTATAACAAAGCAAATGTCAGAAAAATAACAGCTATAGTAAAACAAATTTCTCTATCAGTTATTTGTGTGGGAAGAAGAAGATACTAAACCGGGATACCTATAAAATGCAGTACAGCTATTCACAGGAAAACAGCTGTAGTTATGAAGCAAATAGCAAAAATGTTAATGGTCTGCACAAAAGTTTTTACCAGTCAATGAACTCAAGCTTGTAAAATAAAACCAAAAACCAACTGCACTGCTATTGAGTTGATTCTGATTCATAGTGACCCTATAGTACAGTAGAACTTCCCATAGGATTTCCAATGCTATAATTTTTTACTGAAGCAGATTGCCTCATCTTTCTCCCATGGAGTGACTGATGGTTCAAACCACCAACCTTTTGGTTATAGCCACTACACCACCAAAGCCTCTTTTGTAAAATAAGTCAATCTCAAAAGCAGTTAAGTATTAAAGTGCATTAATTTCAAGAGTGTGCGTGAGGTGTTGTTCTGTGATCTTGGAAGGATCTGATATTTTCTGCTTCTGGCCACAAAGGTATTTGAACTTTAGCTTAAGCCAGTCTGTAATTTGAACAGTCTAGGAAAGTGCTTTAGGTCTCTTCAGTTGGAATAGGTGGATCTAAGTCTTAATACCCTATTTTTGTTGAAATATTTTGATCGTGCCTCTGCAGTGAATTAGCAAAGTAAAACTTATCTGTAGGTGGCAAACTTGAAATGGCCATGATTGGCTTATAATGATAACAATTACTTCTTAGAAGTGAAAGACTTGGTAGGAAGTAATTACAAAAATAATGTAAATCCAAATAAAGTCAATTGAAAAACTTTTGATAAAGATAGCTCTAAAATAATGAGTAACTTTATTTTTAAAGAACTTTAGATATATTATAATTTGGAGACATAATACCTTATAGACAGGATACATCGAGACTATACCAATATATTAGGTCTCTAAGCATCTATATAGGAGCTCTGGTAGCATAGTGCCTAAGGCACTTTACTGCTAACCAGAAGGCTGAAGGTTCAAACCCACCAGCCACTCCTCAGAAGGAAGATGGGGCAATCTACTTCTGTAGTGATACTGCCTCGGAAACCCAAGGAGGGGTCTCTATGAGTCGGGTCCGACTCAGTGGCACATAACAACAACAGCAACAATAACCATCTATATAGGAGCTCTGGTAGCGTGGTGCCTAAGGCACTTGACTGCTAACCAGAAGGCTGACGGTTCAAACCCACCAGCCACTTCTCAGAAGGAAGGTTGGGCAATCTACTTTCATAGTGATACGGCCTTGGAAACCCAAGGAGAGGTCGCTATGAGTTGAGGCCGATTAATGGCACATAACAACAACAAGAAGCATCTAAATAGTAATAAAAATTTTAGGGGTAAATGAAGTGAATTCCTTAGTTAAAATCATTATCCTTGATGATGCTAGTTCAAAAAAAAAAAAAAGTGACCAAGTTAGTAATTAAAAAAATAATAAAATTATGATATAATAGTATGTACTTGTTGTCTAATTTCAGGCAAAAACATAAGAAGAAATACTAGCACTTAAAATTTTAACCCAAAGAAAATCAGATACTTCTCTTAATTTGATGATATCTTTCATGTAACTTATAACAAATTAAATAAACACCTTTTAAAACGAACAAATCTTTTGTGGCTTTCTACAAAGTTTCAGAGTTGTCAGGAGTTTACCACAGGTCACTGAGAAACAGTATTTGAGTTATTTTATCAAAGATCTTAAAAGGTAAAATTCCTTAGTTTTTCTAAAACCACATGGCTTGGTTTTTGACTCAGGAATCTTATTCTAATGAGCAGCCAAACCTTTCCCTTTGAGGCAGATTGCATAACTCTTCAACCCATTAAGTAATGAAAATTTTGTTATTTTAACAGCCAGAAAACCAATATACTCTACATACTAGTTGACATTCAAACTCTTAAAAGAACTTATAAATTAAACCACCAAAGTTTAACCACAATGGATAAATTCGAATGGAAGCTTCAGGACAGAAATGCCTGGAATATTTAGGATGGCTGGCCTAGGAGTAGGTCTGACCCCATTTTGTTACAAGCTCCTGCTTCTGCATTATCCAAGAAGTTATGTGCAGGAGCCTTAAAATTGTAACATGGCTAGTGTAAGCCTGAGTTCAAACTCCATTTGACTCATGCTAACTTCTTTATCAGTGACCCTGCTACTAGAATTAAAAGCCTGTGACCAAGAAACTGCTTTCTCTTTGAACTAAGGGAAGGTCCTGATGCCACCAGACTTAAATACATAACAGAGGATTTCCCCTGCAACCATTAAACCTTTGGGCACACTAAGTACAAAACAAAGTAAATGTTTTTAATATTCATACGGGAGGGACTTTACCTGAAGTCCCCTCAACAGCTCTCAGGAAATGTTTAGAACAATTACCTGGTGTTGTTGTTATGTGCCGTTGAGTTGGACCCAACTCATAGCGACCCCTCCTTGGGTTTCTGAGGCAGTATCACTATGGAAGTAGATTGCCCCATCTTCCTTCCGAGGAGTGGCTGGTGGGTTTGAACCGCCAGTCCTCTGGTTACCTGGTAACTGTCCTATAAAACTGCTTTGGTCACATATTCAAACTAACCAATCCAAGCAGCCCACATTCATGTTTGCAATCAATCACTGTAAAGCCCCCACCTTGAGTTACTTGGGAACTCTGGTAGTTTAGTGCCTAACGCTAACCAGAATGCTGGTGGTTCAAATCCAGCAGCCACTCCTTGGGAGAAAGATTGGGCATTCTACTTCCATAGTGATGTTGTTGTTGTTTGCCATCGAGTCAG